GATGGGCCCCCCCCCCCCCTGTCTTTTCCCTCATGCACTGGCTTAGCTGGTGTTTGTGTCCAGTAATACCAAGGATTGCCTGGGTTCAGCCATGTTCCCCTATTATCTGATGAAGGGCTGCAGCATTGAACAGCCGGTCTTTGGAGCCAACTACATTAAAGGAACAGTTTCAGCTGAGCCTGGTGGTGGGTGGCCCTTTTCTTTGATGTGTTCTATTTGGTGTGTGTAAAAATACTTATGATGGTGAAATGCAATGAAATTAGGTGCATTACCTTTTTCAAAATAAAACTAAAACATTTAAACTGTTGCCACTGACATTCACAATAAAAGACACGTTAGTTTTCTGTATTTGTTATAAACGCGGTCATCTCTCTCGCCAGGCGGCTGGGAGGGCCAGGCCCATTTCAAGATGTCATTCCTCAGTGGAGGAGCCATAGAACTGGGACAACATCTCTTCAAACTTGCCACAAATGGTTTGTATACTGGTGTACATATCCCACAAATGCTTATTGAATAGATCAGTTAACCTGTTGCAAGGGACCAATCTTCTCCTGCTGTGTTCTAGCATCTCGTGCTGCTCCTGCCCAAAACGGCGCGGCCTCTTTCGGATATCCTTCACCTGGAATGATGAATGGCTATGGCCCACCTCCACCTGCTCCTCCTGGTTATCCTTACCCCCCACCTCCCCAGGAGAATGGATTCTACCAGGGCCCTCCCCCTGCTGCTGGCAACATGGGCTACCCCTATCCAACACCCACTGCTGGTAATGAATTCAGTCACTTTACACTTTGTCATTGGTAATGTTTCAGCGTGTTCAGTGTAATTAGCTAAAATAATCTAAAGTCTCTCGGACTGTAGGTTTCTTTCACTTTCTGTTTCTCTTCCTTTCACTTTGATGCTCAACATATGTAATGTAGAAGCCAATACAGAGTCTAAGATGTGCCCATACTTTAATAGATTTAAACTTTTAGGTTATGTTTCCCTATATGCAGTCCACACATTTTTTTGTGCATGTGTTTATTGCCAAATGTCCTCATTGCCCTAAAGTAAATACTGTTGAACAAATGATGCTGCGTTCTCTCTCTCTCCCTGTCACTTTTCCTGTTGTGTTTGCTGTGTAACTATTTGCTGACACACTGTTGCCTCCTGTGACCTTGAAACTTCATCTCTTTCTTCTGTGTATCAGGAATGTACCCATCTGGTTTTGACTACATGGCCCCACCTCCCCCATACCCTGGGCCACCCCAGCCTTGGACTGCACCACCCCAGAACTGGACAGCACCACCGCCACCTCCTCCAGGTCTGCTTCTCTCTCTTTATTTTTTTCCTGTGTATGTCTGTGTCACTGCACCTGTCACATCTGATCTGTCTGCTTCAAAGTGACTCATTTTGAAGCACGCCACCAAAAAAGGGTGCTGCTGTCTCATCCGCTACACATCAAAATTGCAAAGGATAAACAAGCTTCCTCTCCCTCCCTGTAGTCAGTTCTAGCACCTTGTGGATTCCAGTGAGCTCAGGCTCCCCCTGCACCTGGGGGGAGCCCCGTCCACCGGGCTGAAATGCCACTTTGTCATCTCTCTTTTAGGGAGTGCTTTAATAGGACATTAGGTGCTGTGCATCCTCAGGATGCACCAGTAGGTTTTGTCTTGAAGATCCTAGAGCTGTCACACATTGTCCTTCATAAGACTGACACCCTGGTCCTCGCATCAGTTCTCCTTGTGCTGTCAGGAAGTGTAGCGTCTGTTCCTACACATGTTCATTAGTCATCACTGTCTCTTTATTTTTCTGTCTCATTTTATGTAAGGCAACTCCAAGGCAGCTGAAGCAGCAGCAGGAAGCGCATATTACAATCCCAGCAACCCACACAATGTCTACATGCCCATGGTAAGCTGCTTTACTTGTCTTCTTCTGTGTGGAAGTGACATGAGCGCTTGTCTAAATTTTTAAACTTTCTTCCTTTGTTCCCCCACAGGAGCAGCCTCCCCCACAGGAGCGGCCTCCACCATATGCACCTAACGCAGACTCTCTTGGCAAGAAATACAACTGAGGCTCAGGCACTGACACTCTTCTCTCTTCTTCTCTACAGTAAATATATTCGAAAGCGAGTCATACTGATGGATACCCACTCAACTGTAGAATAGAGGGTTAAAAGATGTTGGTGATACATCACCAGTGATTTAATGGTATTTTCTATAATGGAGTAGCTAATAAAGCAGTTGCATCTTTTACTTACATTCATTTAAAATGTTTGACAACTCACTGATCATTATTAACATTCTCAGTGATGGGATTTGTTTTATTTCTCTGTCTCGAACATTGATGGTGTTAAGAGGGGAGATGAGGGGACAGGATGGAGAATGTATTAACACAGATTTATTACTAAAACCTCTTGTGGCAACTTCTTGATTGTAATATCAAGTCCTACTATAAACAGTATTTTTGCAGTAAAATTGCAAGTACTGTGTGTTTCAAATACATTTTGTGTGACTGTTGTTCATATACAGTTTAGTAAAACAGTATCAAACTGGTTCTCATAGTTACATATGTGACCAGTGTGATCGTTAGTACACAAGTTACATTACAGTCTAATTCTTTTCACTGCGTGACCCAAATCTCACAGTCCTAGTTGAATATATAATATTGTGTATTATAATAAAGGGTTTGGTTATCAAGAGGAGCGGGGCATGATTTGAAAGAGGATCAGAACGATTTCTTGCATAAAAAGTTTATGTATGTGCAATGTTCCAACCTTACATAAGAAGGTTCTCTGTGATGAGCTGCCGTTACCAGAATGACGCGCTCGACTCCTGGATTCTGTTGTAGTAATGTATGCTATGCTGAGCTGAGACTGAAACTCTACTCTTTGATAGTAATTACACCAGTGTGTGGTTACAGATGACACTAATTATATATTGAGGGCCCGTCAGTGTTTTGTCTGCTGTTGAAACCTCTGAATGCTCACCATTCGTTCCTGGTTAAACTAGGGTGAGGCGCCAACGGCCCGTGTAGCTGTATCCCCGCCTCAGTTTGCGTTGGTAGACACCTGTATAAAGGACCGTCAGCACACAGTGGTAGTGGAGAGAGGATGTTTTTGGTCTGGGTGTGTTTGCGTTGATTTAATTGGATGTCTGTATATTAATATCTCTTTTGCAGTTCTTATTCCCTTTGCTGAATTTTGTCAATTAAATCTGATAAAGTCATTAAATTCCACATTTTAGTATTTTTGTCATTTAATCATACATTTTCAAATCAAATTTATTTATATAGCACTTTAAAAACAACATCCCGCTGACCAAAGTACTGTACATGGCAGAATAAAATCACAAATGACTAGAGTAAATAACAGTTAACATATGTTCAATAAATTAGATTAAAAGGAATGCATCAGGCCCTACTGTGCATTAAAAGCCAAGCCAAATAAATATGTTTTAAGCAATGATTTAAAAGTACTGAGGTCAGTAGCTGACCTAACATTAAAAGGTAGACTATTCCATATTTTAGGGGCTGCACGGTCACCCCAACATTTATATCTGGTCCTAGGAACCTCTAAAGGAAACTGGCTTGAAGATCTGAGGGACCTTGTAGGTTTGTGCCAATGCACTAATTCAGTGAGGTAAGATGGGGTCAAACCATTAAGAGCCTTAAAAACAAAAATGAACAACTTAAAGTCAATTCTAAAACGGACTGGAAGCCAGTGGAGAGAAACCAGTACTGGGGTTATATGCTCGAATTTCTTAGTACTTGTTACAAGATGAGCAGCAGCATCTTGCACCATTTAGAGACGAGTGAGGGAGGACTGGTTAACACCATAGTATAGAGCATTGCAATAATCAAGTCTAGAAGTGATAAAAGCATGAACTGCAATCTCAAAATCATTAAAAGAAAGGAATGACTTGACCTTAAAGGTGGAAGAAGCTGGATTTCACAACCGAGTTGATCTGCTTGTCGAAAGTTTTAAACAGTTTTAATGTTTCTAATCTGACACTTATACCGGAAACAACAGGGCTTTAAACACCTAGACTTGAAGCATTTTCATCAGTTTTTTTTTTATTTTTATCAATAGATCAATAAGTTATCCTCCCTGGTGGCTAGGGTTCAGAGTTCGCCGCTGCGGCCTGCGTTCAGTTCCTGGTTGGTGAACCTCTAGCCACAGGTTTCACTCCAGTGACTTCTGTGCTGGTCCCAAGCCCGGATAAATACGGAGGGTTGCGTCAGGAAGGGCGTCTGTGAAAACATGCCAAATTTCAATCCATGTGAATCGTCAGTGTGGGAACAGATGATTCGCTGTGGCGACCATAACAGGACCAGCCAAAAGTAAAGGGGATCATCCATCCATCCATCCATCCATCCATGGCTGAGGTTAATGTTTTACTGCTCAGTTACTTGCTGTTTTCTTTAAAGTGTTGAAGTTGACTTAGACATAATTAAACATATTTAAGTTTTTTTCCTCCGAGTTGCGTGAAGAGGTGTGTGGGTAGAGCGGTTGTCTCCCAACCAGAGGGTTGGAGGTTCGAATCTTGGTGCCTGTTGTCCACCTTTCGCAGTGTCCTTGGGCAAGACACTGAACCCCTAAGCTGCCCTGATGGTTGGAGCCATCGGTGTGAGTTGGCAGTGCAGACGGCTGCCTTGGTTCTGTACCGGAAACAAATTCCTTCTGTGTAACATACTTGGCCAAATAAAGTTGATTATTATTAACTCCAAGCATGGACTGGACAGGATTATCGACGCCCTCATCTTAATATTTGGCAGCCTACCCTCTGGACAAAGTAACTGAAACCAGTCTCTTCCTGTAACCACCAGTGAGTTCCTTCCACCTCTCTACTGGAGTTTTGGACCTCTCTTCTTTTGCCAGCTGCTCCAGGTCTGAGGTGTGAAGGCTTCCTTCTCCCAGCTGCTGTTCTCTCCACAGGCGTTCTATGGGGTTTAGACCTGGACTCGTTGCTGTCCAGCTCATTGTCTGAAACCATTTCTGGGGCTGTGTGAGGTCTGCTTTGGGTCATTGTCCTGCTGTGAGACCCATGACCTCTGACGGAGACCCAGCTTTCTGACACTGGACCCTACACTGCCCACTGTTTCACTCTTTGCATGTGAAACCCCGAAACAAACTTTTTTTTTAATAACTGATTTAACTGACGGTGTCTCTGACAACCTGATGGAATAAGACAACTGGAATTATCTGCACTAGCTGAATAACATTTATTACGTTACGAAACACTGTCAAACCTGAACCTTAGATTCACTCTCATCACAGAAACACACACAGATGTTTTGCATAACAATTTCAAGAATCTCAATAAATAAAACATTTTCATGCACTACAACATAAAATATTCCCACAAATGGGCCAACATACTGTATAACCACAGTTTATGACAACACCATTAGCTAGCCAGTTAATCAGACATTTGATTTTGATTTGATTTATTCTTTCAAGCATGTAAAGACAGTTGATACGTCAACACATAATTTTACACATATCCAACAAATGCTAATCCAATATCAATTTGCTTATACCTAGTACATGCTTGAACGAAGTAGGAAGAAGTCACTTATCCAGTCCGACCCCATGACATCATCTTACCATCATTGGTTTGCAAGCAGTAAATGATTCTCTTCTACACCACACAAGTGATATACTACAGAATTATTACAGAGTGTTAACAAAGTGTTAACATTCATACACCACACCCACAATGTTCCATCTAATTAATCATTAAGCCTGTTCTTGCATATATCTTGATTGACACATACCTTTATATTTATGTTTAAACTCATCAATTCTATTACTATTTTTTTATGTCCACACTTAAATTATTCCATAGTTTTACCCCACTTATAGAAATACAGAATCTTTTTTTGGTTGTACGTATAGCATGAATTTTTAAATTTAACTGACCCCTTAAATTGTATCCCCCTTCCCTTTCATTAAATAGTTTTTGAATTCCACCAGGTAATAAATTGCTCCTGGCTTTATACATAAACACTGCAGTCTTATATCCCACTAAATC